GACGAGCGCGAGTTGGAGGCTTGGTGCGCCGGTCGGGAGGGGTGTGAGACCATGTTGACGTCTTCCTCTGGCCCGGGCCGGCTGCTATGCCGTCCTATCGTCGGGGCGTCGTCTGTCGCGGCGCGGAGGTGCGTTGGCGGAGGTGGGCGGCGGCGGCGGTGAATGGCGGGCTGCGGTGTGCATATCCTCCCTCAACACGCACTCGGGGATCCAGACCGACGGCAGCGTCGCGGGCAAAGTCGCAATTGTTGTTGTTGCCCATGCGCGGCCCAGGCAATGCGTTGGAGGGGCCCGTTACCAGCGCAAAGCAATTATCACACGGGGATCCTGGCCGCGAAACACGCTCTAGCACGCCCAGCGAATCCCAGAGTCGCTCTCGCCTGCCAGCGGCTGCCGTTGTGGAAAGACTCGTCGCCCAGTGCTGCCGCGGAGATTGAGGCAGACGGGGAGTCGCTAGACGGCGGCGACTCGAGCTGCGGTGAATGTCTTGTTGCTACTCGACCTGCGCGCAGTAGCGGCCGCGCCGTTGCAACCTCGCATCCTCGCTTCATGCGCCCTGCCTCGTACCATCCACTCACCGCGCTGCACCTCATGGCTGCCTCCGGTTCCGAAAATTGTGTATGCACGTATGCATGTAGGTGGAAGCAATGCGACGCGACGCGCCGTACTTTATGTTTCTCTTAGCAAAATCTCGTCACAAAGACACATTGTCATCCAAGACATCCTCTCCACGTGCGCTAGCCCCTTGCATAAGCCACACATAACATTTCCGTCACCTACGACGCGCCCCATCATCATCAAATGCTTGCGTCACATTACCTCTCGCTATCGCTCACTATCGCAATCAGACATCATCAGCATGGTTTATCGCTGTCGCGGGGAATGTGGGGAAACGGCTTCGGTCAGCCTTGTGGAAACCCGACCAAAGAGGAAGTGCCGATGCACGAGTCAAGCTGAGACGCCTGAAAGTTGGTATGATTTCTCATCAGACTACTTCATCATTTCCCTCACATCTTCGCCGCCAAACTTTAAGAGCTCACAACGTTGAGCACACCGCCATCCACCGTCAGAATTTGGCCGTTGACGTAGGAGTTCTTGGTGAGGAAGATGACGGCCTGTGCCATCTCCGCGTCGCTGCCCGCCCGTCCATGTGGGACGTGGCCCTTCTCCTGGATCTTCTCATCCGGCAGGTCGCTCTTCTGGTTCTCGTCGCTCTCCTTTGCCGTCATTTCAGACGGGAAGTAGCCAGGGGCAATGCTGTTCACGCGAATGCGAAGCTGCTGGAACTCGGCCGACATGAGTTTGCTCAGATGGACGGTGCCGCCCTGGCATACAGTCAGTATACATCCGTCATATATCGATACTATCATCTCACCTTGGCAGCGTTGTAGCTGAAGTGCCCTTGCGCGTCCTTCATGATTCCCGACATGGACGAGATGACAATGACAGAGGCAGAAAGGTGACCATGGCTCTCAGTTCCAGCTTGGAGAAGCGGCAGGAGAACGACGGTGGTGAAGTAAACGGCGGTAACATCGGTGTTGTAGGTCTCGGCCCAGCCCTCGAATGTCTCGTTGTCGAAGAGCTTCTTCTTCATGTCGGTCGCGTTGTCTGCATTGGGAATACCCTTCTCGCCTGAGATGCCGGCGGCGGCAATGAGAAGGTTGATGTACTTCTCCTTGGACGCCAGCTCCTGGTACATGCGCTCCAAGTCGTCCTTCTTGGTTACGTCACATGGCGAGAGAGGGATGATTTGACCACCTTGGTCGGGGCTGTGTGACTTCGCTGCGGTCTCGAGGGCTAATATGGTCAGTCTCTCCGTCTGACTGATTGTAGGGGCCTGCAGTCGTGCTTACCTTCTTGTCGACGACCAGTAATGTAGACCTATCTGATGTTAGCATTGTTCATTCGTGAGAAGAAGGAACGTACTTTTGCGCCGTTCGCAGCAAGGGCCTGGGCAGCCATGAGGCCGATACCAGAGCCACCTCCAGTCACTACGCATACATAGTCTTTGACTGAGAAGAGCTTCGCCACGTGAAGGTCGGAAGTGTTTGCTTTGGGAGGCATGGTGAATCGAAGCTGTATGTTTTGGATGGTACCGAGATGTGAAAGTTTCGTTGGATTGAGAATTCCTGAGTAATTCGCAATTGAATAGTTCACAGAAAGGTGTAGGACGTTCGTGCAAAAAGCGTAGAAGTTCTATTAGTATAATTAGCTATGACGTACGGCTGTAAACAGCCCACCTGGCCCAAATAGGCTTAGGCCCAACGCGCTCATGCCACAGCCTCTCTTGCCTCATGCGGTCTCGCGCAAACTTGCCGTTCAGCCCGTTCAGCCTCGACCTCCAACGTCCAGGCAGTCGCTTCCATGACCGCGCCACTATTTGTTCGACGTGCCTCTTCCGCGCATCATCGCATTGCTTTCACTCTTTCTCGACACTCCATCATAATTTCAACTCACCCACGGTTGTCTAACAATGCCTACCCACGGCGCGTAGCACATACACGGCAATCTCCAAAACTTGGAGATTATTACTTCCTTCATCTTCCTAAAACATCTTCACGCGTCTAGAAACCGCGGTCATAGTTCGCCCACGCAAACTCACATGGGAATATCGCCCTCAACCGCCCGCCGCAATGTCTGACCCACGATACGAGCTCATGGTTCCACCAGGAATGAGTGACCAGCTATGGCCCGAGCGCCTGGACACACCCGGACTCATCCCGCATCACCTCAAACGCTCTGCGACAGGTCAGTTCCCCATCTTAGAGGTTGTCCAGCGTCTACTTTATCGACTCCGGCCAAGCGGCATCTGCGATCTTGAAAAGCTCCTCGCACTCATCGGTCTCTACCAAGCTATTCGTCCCGCATACAAGCATCTGAAGGATTTCTTTACATGGGCCTTTACTGTTCAAGTCACCATCCCAGAGACCGATCCAGTCGCTAGAGAGGTTCTGGCGTGGATGGGCTCGGAGGTGATACTCAACAGCCACACGAGGAGTGCCATGCTGGTCACAGGAGGCACACAGGATCCCAATGACGAGTTTCATCGCCGAATGATGGCGGCGCATAACCCGAGACTTGCATCCGAGAAACCGGACGATGAGGTTCTATGTCTCCCGCCAATCGGTACACGACTATTTTGGGTCGGATTTCGACCGTATCTATTCTCACGTCGAGGTGGCCCTGGCTATCGGACCAACAGTGGTATGACCGGTAATCTGCTCGACGATAGTGGCCAGCTTCAAAACTCCCTCACTATCATGACGCTCGGATGGAGCCTCAAACCACTGAAGCAGTTCACCAGTCTCTGTCGCGAGTTCCGACTCAACAACCTCACAGGTACCACAACGGTATACTTCGCGGGAGATCGTACAGATCCATACGGTAACGGCTGGCAGTCAGTTTCCAAAGCCATTCGAAAGCTCGACACTATAGACATGGACGAGACCACCAAATTCGATATTGTCAGAGACGCGGAATACTACTACAGCGAGGAGTCTCGGTCATTCTTTGCCGACTGTGGTATCCCATATCGGCGCGGGTATCTCTTCCATGGGCCCCCGGGTACCGGCAAGAGCTCATTCAGCGCTGCATTGGCGGGCCATCTTGGCTGCGACATCTACCACATCAATCTTTCCACCGGTAGCATCAATGATGGAACACTTCACCGCTTGTTTTTAGGCCTTCCCCGCAAGTGCGTAGTGGTTTTGGAAGACATCGACTCTGCTGGTATCGGTCGCGAACGAACACCGCCGGCTGCCCCAACAGGAGCACATGCGCAAGCGGATGAGACTTCAGGTGACGTCGCTGGTATCCCAGGTGGCATCGGTCCGCTACCAAAACTTCGGGCTCGTGATTATCCAGGTGTGGGTCGTAGATCGAACACAGTTACACTAAGCGGCCTGCTGAATGCTATCGACGGAAACGCTTCTCAAGAAGGAAGACTCTTGATCATGACCTCCAACGCTCCCAATACGCTTGATGCGGCTTTGACGCGTCCCGGCCGCATCGACAAGAAAGTCTATTTTGGCAACATGGACCCCAGTGCGGGCAAGAGCATCTTCAAGCGCTTGATTGGTCGCTCAGCTCTCGCTCATGATGCCGAGTTTACCATGGCGCAGATCGAGGAGTGGGCGACTGAGTTCGCCGACAAGATGCCTACTAATACATGTAAGTGGTTATGGCATTTTAGATCCAAATTTCGTACTAACAGGAATATAGTTTCCCCAGCGCAAGTGCAAAACTACCTCCAAGGCTGTCGCGGCGACCCTCTCAAAGCTTTGAACGATGTCGAAGCTTGGATTGCGGAGACTAAGCTTGAAGCGGGGAAGTCGAACGGCGCTGAGCACGGCACTCAGAATGTCACTCAGAATGGCACCCAGAATGGCACCTAGAATGGTACTCAAGACAACGCTCAAAACCACGCTCAGAACGGCGTAGGCCCGGCCGTTTCAACCAAGCCCGTCCCAGATGGTAGTGAGTTAAAAGCTCTGCTCCTGGCTGGGAGCATGGACTGAGACAGCATCGGAGAAACTGCGTTGATCTTCCCAGAGTACTGACATTACATTTACAGCTGCGTCCACCCCGGTTCCTCCAATGTTCTATCTGTGGAAGTGGGAACCACAGCTAGAGAAATGGTATAAAGGTTCGAGGCTCTTACAAACAGCGGCATGGACCGTAGCACCACCTGTTAGGGGATCATTTGGGTAGACGATTGTGGTGGCCGGTAGACTGGGGTGAAGACGTTGGGTACGAAGAGGTAGAGAGGGGTATTAGGATCGTAGACGGGGATGAGATGTTGCGCGCGTTCTTCTTCTCTTGTCCACGAACGTTCGCGTATTTGGTAGTGGATGAAACGACGTCCGGATAGCCAGCAAGGCCTAAGCTTTTCCATGCCGCTGCTTCTCATGTTTTAGACTTAGTGAAGCTCAGTGCACTTCATTCTCCGACCGGGCTCTCCGTACAAGTGCCCTTCTCATCCCACTTATATATTTTTCTGATCAACCATCAAGCCGTCCACCATGCTCAGGTTGAAAACGTCCCAAGTCCAACTCCAAGTGAGCTTCGGCCTTTTCGCAGATTGCAAGAAGATGGTTGTGAATTTCACAACAACCGGCGCGCATCATGGTACCGTGACTCTGAGAATAAGTGAAGTGGTTAATCCCGCTCAACTTCTGATAGAGCACTTCGAATGAAAGTTCTTCGAAGGGATGTTGGTCATGTTTCTCGATGCGACTCAGCAGCTTGTGGTCCCACAAGCTTTTTTGTAGGAATCCTAACATCGTCGCCGAACATCCATAGCCGCATCCTACGTTGCCTTCGTATAGATCTTGGTTGAGCTTGTGAGTGCCGGCCAGCAGCTCTTGGATAGCTGCACACCTCATGCTGTCAAGCTGACCCACCCCTGTAAGAGTTAGCAGATGCTCAGGGACCAGTTGGTTTGCTTACCTTTTTCACCGCGTGGGAAAGGCAGATCCAAGAACTGTATCGGACAACACGCCTCCCTCATCGCCATCGACGCCATACTCTCAAACACCTCCCACTCCTTCAACTTCACACCCAAAAACATCCACAGCATCAACTCTTCGCAGTAAACTGTAGGCATCAGCTGCTCCTGGAGTTGATCCTGCCACTCCTTCGTAAACAGCCTCAACGCATCTTCCATCTGGTAGTAATCTGCGACCAGAAACAGCGCAACAAACAACCTGACGCTGATCTTCTTCGGTAGAGCCACGAACTGGAGATGCGCAATATTGAGCATGATGGCAAGGGCATGCGGGTTCCACTGCTGCGCGCGTACGTGATATAGACCGTCCTCGGTATTTGGGACTGTCTCGTCGTAGTTCCGTTTAAACATTTTTTCGAAGTAAGGTGACACGATGCGCAACTGTCGCGATGACACGAGGTAGTGGACTTTGGTAGGTTGGGTAGGTATCTGCTTGGACTGCGCAGTCTCGTTCTCAATACTTGCTTTGGCGGCCTCTGCCTGAGCGATCCAATCTCCCAGGGATTCGCTCTCGTTTTTCCACTTTGACTGCAAGGTACTCCGGTATTTGAGCTTGATTAGCATGTCGCCGTTTGGGTCGATTGTTACGAGCTTCGGCTTTTCGCCCATTGTGACGAAGAGGTGCGCTGGGTAAAGTCGACGTGACGATGTTGGGCTGGCGAGTTGAGAGAGTCAAGTCAGCGTGTGAATCGAGCGTAATGGGTAGGTGGTGAAAGACAGCGCGTTTGCTCGCCAAGCCCGCTAGTTGGATCGCGCTGATGAAGACAAGAGGGAAGGATTAATAGAGCAGTCGGGCTCACCTAAGATAAATAAGTGGGCACAGAAAACCGCATAGTAGTAGGTAGCTTCATGTCCCTCTGCGTAGTTGCAGTACGAGTGAATTGAGTGGATGGCAACCATATGTAGCTAAGTTTGAAGAAGTGTAAAAGTAGACGGCGTCAGTATACGTATTGCGCGATGACAGGTTTGCATCTTGATCATGAGATGCAGTTTACTTAGTGTGATACCACCTTTTGATTCGAAGGTTATGCTGTCATTTGACAATCTGATCTAACTGAGATACGGTGTCGAAAGACTCTGCCAATTCTGCACCTTTCTTTCCTCGGCTACCCTTCATTCGTTCGCTAATACATGGCCATCCATCGCTACCCTGTCTCGCCATTGACATCACAGACATCTTCTCTGAACCCTCAGTCCGAGGGTTTGACGGGTTTTGACGGACTGAGATCAAGTTGGAACTTCAGATCGTCGTCGACCTTCTTCATGATTTGATCGAACAAACCGCGGAAGTCGCACTTCGCGCAGGCTCCTATGGGCGTATATTCAGAGCAGTGCACGTTGCCATAATAGTCAAAGGTCTCTTTCCGAATTGTCATAGCTCGCACAGCATCGCAGGCTTTCTGGATGCTCGTTCCATAGTAAGGCGGTGAGATGCTACCTCCAAGGGCGGACGACAGTCCGCCAGATCGCTTGTACAATATCAAGGCGCCCAACAGGGTAGCCCGACACCTGATGCTGCAACACTCCTCGCCTTCGCTAAGACTTTGAACAAACGATTGAGATGGTGAATGTGTATACTGAGGAAAGCGGATAGCATGAGTCTGAAAGCACTGAAGCACAACGAGATCAGTGAAATGCACGTCAGACAAGAAACTGTGCAATGACAACCGCAATAGGCGTATCGCCGATCAACTGCATGTGCTGTATTACCCCACTCGGAGGTCTGTGGATAATAAGGTATATACATGAACTACGTTTACATAATTATAATTCAGGAAGCGATACCTTCAAGTTGTATGTGCCCTCTAGTAGTGAGCAGGGGCGGGGGTAGCCTTAGGCCTGACCCTGGTCTCCAAAGTGCAAGGCGTGCTGCTGGCCTTGACACCTCCGTAGCCCTGAGCGGCAGAGGGCTTGGTGGGGCGATGAGCAGCATGGGTAGGCTTGGGGTAGGCGTGAGGCCACTTGCCAGAAGGCCTGGGGCGACCCCAGCCGAAGCCGCCTTGGGGACGGCTACCGTTGTGGAAGTAGTCTGGGCGGGGAGTGCCAGAGGGGCGTGTGGTGCCAGAGGGACGCATGCCGGTTCCGGTGGGGTAGGCTGCTGCTGAGCCTGTACCGGTAGGGCGCTGAGGAAGAGGCGACGAAGCAGTGGCGTCAAGGGGCACGCGGGTGCTTTGAGCCTTGCTTTTGGTGCATGATGTGGAAGTTGCGGGTTTGGGTGTCGCAATGGTAGAGGTAGCTGCCGAGCTCGCGCCGGTAGGCTTCTGAGGGGCAGCCGATGAACGGGTAGCGTCAAGGGGCACGCGGGTGCTCTGGGCCTTGCTCTCGGTGCAAGTCGTGGAGGTTGCAGGCTTGGATGGCTTGACGGTAGGAGGAGCTACCGGGTATTCAGCAGATCCGGTAGGCTCGACAATAGACGAGCTGGATGTGGTAGAGTACACCGGCAAGAGGGACAGAAGAGGGACCGCGGCAGTCTCTGTGAAAGCAGGTGCAATAGCAGGGTTGAAAAGCTGGGACGCCGGGATGTAGATGGACTTGAAAGGGTTCGGCAGATCATCGTCGGGAAGGAATCCTGAGGGTATAGCTCCGAGGGCGGATGTAATAACAGAGACGATGGGTACTATGGGCACCAGGGACGCAATCGGGTTTGGAACGGGCGTGCCGTACCCAGCAGGAGTTGTAACGGAAGGAGCAGGCTTCGAGCCTCCAGCAGGGGCGTCGTAGCTGTTATCGCCATACTGAGCAAAGGCCGTACCGGCAAGCAGGGAAAAAAAGAAAGCAGAGTGCATCATGATGCTAGCAGATGATCAAACAAAGCGAGGAACGAAATAAAGAGCGAACGACCAGCGAACCAGGTCAGTGTGTCTGAGAGACGGTAAAAAGAATGTAATCGATGCGAATGATCGTGAAAGCGGTAGTAGGTCGTCGTCATGTTGGAGTTGCTCCCCTATATAAACAGGCGGGCAATGAAACAAGCCATTTCCGCTGGGGCCTGAGGCCTGGACCAAGAAGACGGCGCCAATCGAGGATCATCTCGGAAACATTTGCAGTGCACCCCAGTGCGGGGACCGATGTGCCTGTCCCAAGGCCAGGTGAGAGCTGCGAGTGGTTGGGTTGCTGAGGCGCGGACCGTAGAATGGGTAGCGTAATTGCGGTCGTTTCGAGTTGTTTCGCCAAGATCCCGCTAGCGGTAGATCGTCGCTTCAGCACGTGACGAGGTCGGGACGGGATGGTCTAGATCATCAGCTCGTCATTGCGTCAACACGCACCATTGTCCGATTCATCATTTAGATTTGAGGACTCCAGCGCTGAGTACTGACTAGCATACACTTAACGGCCATCTCGATCTATTGTATCACGACGCCGTCTTCCGCCGCTTAATACCGATCCACATGTCCTCCCAGAATCCTACACCACCTTTGACTACAAAATTGCCTTTGCGGCTTTCGTCGATCTCAATCTTGAACGTCCTGAAGAACTGCAACGGGGCCTTGTACAACTCCATGAGCGCGATGTCTTTTCCAAGGCAGACTCTTGCACCATATCCGAAGCCCATGTTGTACTTATTGTACTCCTTTGCTTTGTCTTCGCTTTCGAGCCACCTTCCTGGACGGAAATCACAGGCATCTTGGCCATAGATCTTCTCATCACGGTGCACGAGCCAGGGGTTGCAGGTTATTTCGGTACCGGGCGGCGCGTAGCGGCCATGCAGGTGCATCCCTGACGAACCCACAACACGAGGGAAGATGTTGGGAGCGGAGGGACAGAGACTGCATTCGTCAGTACATGGGAGTAACAGTGGAGAAGATGGTTATGACCTACCGCATGCTTTCTTTGACGCAAGCAACGTAGTATGGACAATGCTCCAACACTTCGTCATATTGTGGCATGGGGCTCAACTTGCCCTCGCGAGTAACGCGATCTATCTCTTCCATCAACTTCGCGTTTACTTGAGCATCAGAGGTAATGTACGCAATCATCGCTTGGAATGCAGTGCCCGTCGTATCAGCGCCAGCGAGCAATACGAGAAGGATTTCAGCTTTGATGTAGTTCAACTCCAGCGGTGCGCCGTCTTCTGTCCTTGCATCCAGGAAAGTCTGTAGCAGATCGACTCTGTCGACTTTACCAGCTTCAATATCTTGGATTCGCTTGGCAATGAGGTTATCACGGAAGCGCATCAGCGTGCCAATACCAGAGTCGTCCTCTGGCTTCGCCACAAGATATTTCTCGCCGAACCATGTGCCTTTCGCCCATTGTGTAAACGGCCAGAGCCGAGCCATTAGACCAAAAGGGAGTAGACCATCGTGGAAGCCTTTGATCAAGCCGTCGATATCGGAGCCGCTCTCGATGAATCCGATGGGTGCGCCAAAGCCAATCTCCGATATGATGTCATATGCCATATATACTGCCTACATAAAGTGTCAGTGCCCCTGATCGCCAGCGTAACGATAGTGTGAAGCGTACCCAGGGCGCAAAGTCAAATCTTCTGCCATCGCCGAAGACTTCCTCCAGCTTGTCAGTCCACTGCTGGATGCGATCATCCACTAGCCCTTCCATCTTTCTGACGTTGCTGAAACTATATGGGCCAGCAGCGATCTTGCGAAAGTGCGCGTGGTGCTTGTGTTCCCGCATATTGAACAAACTCTCGGTCTTGCCGAAGCTGCCGGTGATATAATGATTCGATTTGTTCGATTGACGATTGTAAACTTCAGGGAGCTTGGTTGCATCGGATACCAAGAGTAGGGTAGGGGTGACGCGGAGGACGGGGCCATATTTGCGGTGTAGGGCGAGTTCGACCTCGCATTCATCAGCTTTGATGTTGTGATAGGCGATCCATAGCCGTGTTACGCTGGCCCAGAAGGGACCCGGGAAGTGTCGTAGTGGGTGGAAGTATCGATAGTAGATGATCTGGTAGACGCATCTCACGGTAGCATATGCCACGAGTACTAGGAGGATATTAGGTATCGTGAAGTATGAGGAGAGATGCAGACTAGAGTCTTGCGTAGACATCATGCGGGAACTGCAGAATACGAGTACACTGGATCAACTAGAAAGGGACGCTGCGATGCCGACAATAGATATATTCGTTGAGTATCCATCGCTCCAAAGGATCGTAAAGTACTCTTACGGCGTAGGAAACTAACATGTCGCCCGGAGAAGCATCGCCAGCGCCTTTTGAAGAATTCACACATATGATTCGACATGAAACCATCCAGCAGTCACGCCTCTCTTCCACATGTTCTCCGATAGCGTGGCGGGGTAGCGAACGCTAGAACGATGCTGTCGCGGGGTACATACGCAGGTACGGGCAGCGTTTTCCGATCTACCAGCACAACGCGGGGTCGGGAGTTGCATTCCATACCACAGAAGCGACATGTTCGTGCCGTGGTTGATGTGCGACATCAATGAGCTAGGCGTCATGCCAGCCAACCCAAACTTGGCTGAAGGCGATAATTTCAATGGTCAGTGATGATGTTGTGAGGACGGAAGTCTCTGTCGAGCAAAGACACGTGTGCGTTGAAGCGGACTCGATGCCGTGTCGGTTCTGGAAAACGAACTTTGAGCCCTGGAGGTAGTCGAGGTGACGCACGCAGCCAGAGCGGAAAGATCCATGGATGGGTTGCCAAGGGCGCTAATCCGCGCTGATCTTAGCGCTACAGCCCCTGGATGCCCAGCCCTGGAGGCACCCGGGCGCGTATCGCCGCGCGGTTTGCAGGCCAGAACGCGGACACCATCAGCCTCCTCTTCCTATCCTTTCAATCTCATCTCCCGCACGTCGAATCGCGTCGCGAGACATGCCATATGCGCAGTGAATGGGACACTTGAATCAGTCAGCAACAGATCAAGCTCCGCAATTGCGGACACCTGGGCAGTCGCCGATTGTCGTTCTACTCTCTTCTGCCACGCCGCGTCGGCAATACCTTATTCACTGGCCAAAAGCTTCTTCGCACAAAGTCATCTCCTTAGCTCATTCCTACTGTACAGATAGTTCGATCTCAGCCGCGTATGCAGGAACGAACATGTCAAGTGCTTAACAAAGTTCGATTTCGTCCGTTCACGAACGACCGACTGGGCGTGTTGCCGCTGCGATTGGCCTAGCTCTGTTACATGAGAATGTATCGCGACACATCGCAGCGAGCCGCTTCTTTCGCCGATATGGACGGGGTTATAGAGGTAGTGAAGCTTTCGACAAGCAAGCAGCTTGATCTGACGCTTCAAATCGCAACGCTCGGCCGGCCATGTGACTTCTCTTAGTCGCTAGCGACGTAGGACTATTACCGTTTAACACATGTTGTTTTATACGCCTCCGGTTTACACAGGTATCAGCAATGCAATGTTTGCTTGGCCAGCCGGCACGGAAGTGAGTGGAGCCAGGAGCTATCCTCCTCGAACTTATATTCTTTTAGATACGCGCACGGGAAAAGGTCACTCCACCACACGAGCTTATCCTGCCAGTCGATTAGATGCCGTTGTAACCGCCATTTTTCAGGGAACAAACGCTACCTTCCACCAAGATCATCACACCTTGTCCGCCGCATCTGGTCACGCTACCTCCATGTCCATCTGCATGGCAGTGGGGACGTGGAACCATTCCTACTACGCGAATACACAAGCAGCGAGGACCAGATGGGATACCATGTGATTGGTGCTGGGCGAGTCTGCTGCAATATAATTTTGCGAGAAGGTCCGATGTTGTGCTACTGTGCCACATTCGCGCATGACTTCACAGCCCCGCCATCGCGAAGTACGTCATTTGCTTCGACATCCTCCCTCTTTTCTATCATCTACGATACTGTCAAACGAGACCTTTCTTCTTCGGATTGTTAAGAGTTTTGGGTCGCGAATCTGACTCGCAATCATGCATCTTTGCGATGTGTGTAGGGCCATGCAACCCATTCTTCATCGGATCTCGTCGGGCGCCCATATACCGCTTGAGTCTTACAGAACTCACCACGAGAGTTTCTTAGATCTTACGAGGGCAGCTAAAGCCGGCTGCTACATTTGCACTAAGTTGTGGCGCACTGTCAAAGCAACTTTTCGCTCAGTGAGGCGTCATTTTATCCATCCGGCGACTTTCTGCATCGCCCTCACCAGCGAATCTGGAATGGGTGACTTGATGCAGACCACGACACTAAGATTCTATCGAGAGGGGCAAGAAGAGGATGACCAGGCTAGGGTGCCACTCGACGTCTTCCACTGTATCCCATACGCCCAGAGTACGTATCTGCTGTGAACAGCGAATCCGTGCTAACTGCAACAGACATATTGAGAGAACCATTTCGCACCATCCCTTCTTACTCGGGCTCTCCAAAGATTCTGAAGTTGGCAAGGCAGTGGTTCAAGCATTGCGTCGACTTTCACAAAGGCTGTCGCGATAGTGGAGATACTACGTGGTATCCGACAAGGCTTTTAGAGGTAATGCCGGACACCTCCAGCCCGAGGTTGATTATTACGGCACAACACAACCTACGAGATAGTTATGCAACCTTGAGCCACTGCTGGGGATCTAAACCGGTACATCGCCGGACTTTGGGACAGCCATCTACCGGAAACACTCTTGTGGAAGATCAGTGAGAAAGAGATAGCTCCGCGTCCAAAACCCTATCGCGCTCCGACTTGGTCATGGGCTTCCATCAATGGTACAGTCGTTTGGGAAGATCGTATCTGGACCGATGAGTATACGTGCGAGACCACCATATTGAGTGTTGATGTACAGTATGCGTGGGATGACTGGGGACAAGTCATTAGCGGAGAGATTGTAGCCAACGGACCGCTGCGTAGGCTGCGATACGAAGATTTCAGAATCGGGTTCATCCGGCTTGGGCCTGATAAGGGTGAGGATACTCAGTATAGTGTTATGCTCCACGATGCTGAGTCCAGATGGGGACCAACTGAGCCGTGGGACGAATACTTGTACGGGCTTCTGATTGTCCGCTTCAAGAATCTCTCTCTTCGGCGCTGTTGCATGATGGTCTTGAACCCGATACCAGACTCGAATAATGCGTTCGAACGGGTGGGTATCGGTTATCCAATGTTTGGCGCAGAAGTGAAGGAATGGTTCGATGGATGTCCATCCCAAACGGTTGTAATCAGATGAGTCGATAGTCCCTACTGTGAGATCACGTGATCAGCGCTCGCGACTACCAACCAGATCTCGCAGGACTTACCACTGCAATGCATCTAGTCGCCCTATCATACATCGCTGCAAAGTGACTCCACCATGTCTTTGATGTTCTTCCATTCCTTCTCGAGGACTGCGTCTTCTGTGATGAGCACGCGTTTTGCTTTCCAATTCTCCAAATGGTCGTTCAGTGCACATAGTTCTTCCAAAAGAATATCGCTCGACTCGCTCATAGGTGATTGATGTAGCTCAAATATGTTCTTGGCTGCTTTGATCGCGTCGCTGGTCTTCTCGAAGTTGTGAAACTGCTTGAGACTGGAAGCGAACAGTTCCCTGCTGCGTTGTATCTCTTGTTGTATCTTAGAGACAACAGCGATCTTCGATTCGGTCGGCATGATACGTAAGATCAAATCGGTTTGATGCGAGCTGAAGGGTTGCTGCTATGGAATTTCGTCTGATATCGTTTCGAATGGGGTAGCGTACGAAGAGGCGTGCGTGGTGATAACCAGAAGCCACTCCCCTCCACTCTTATACCAGACATATCCATCCAGTGATTCATACGTATAACAGTCACATACAGTGTTGTGACTGTGTGGTGGCCGCGTGGTGTTGACTCTTCGCCATGTTAGTCACATTTGACTCTTCACCGCACAGCCCACTATGTCTTTCATCCCATCTTTCACCAGATGGAAGGAAGTTGAAGAAGTTGAGAGGAGGTTTAGATAGTACTGTAGCATCATACAAGGTGGTTTGGGGGGCATGTATCGTGTGTATATCACTTGATATGGGGCAGTGTCAGACGACACTTTGGATTATCTGGAGAGGTTTTGGGGGTATATATGGTATGTATGTCACTCAAACATCGACTAGTATCAGATTATACATCTGAATAGCTCTATTTGTCTCCAAAGCATTTGTTCAAGAGGTATTTACGAGATGTATATCCCCTGAAATCGACCAGTGCGAGACGGCTATATCGACCTCTGCCACGACGGAATGAAGCACCTGACCGAACCCAGGAGGTAATTAAGCTTCCTCACAGCCTCGTAACAAGCTTCCAAAAACCCATGTGGCCATATAATCAGCCCATGAACTCACTCAACACCGCCACAACCTACTCGAAGTCCTACACGCTACCTCATCCCCTCTCGAAGATGCTTCGCACCACACGATGTATTCTCCAAAGCACTTCATAATTTGAGAGGCAATGAAAGAGACTGAGATACGCTAGGATTGTTTCTGGACTAGTGTTCGCTACACCCAGCTTCACTTCCGAAGTTCGACCAAGGCACGAGTAGTCTGCACCTACTCTTTCTCCCACATTACCTCTATCTCTACACCACCATAGTCACACAAATTCAACAGCGCTATGGCAGACAAATCGCAAGTACCTCCGGTCGCACCTGTATATGGGTAAGTAATCTGCGTATCGCAACTGGAGCTATCGCAGTCACTGACCCAATGGGTAGAGCTGCGGCCCAAGGCGAGATCGTCACCATCTTCATCGGTCCGGAGAAGAAGCGCTACAACATCCACAAGGACATCATCTGCCACCACTCCGAGTACTTTCGAGCCGCATTCAATGGCCGCTGGAAGGAGTCGGACGAGGGCGTAACACTTGAAGACGTCGAAGTCGACGTGTTTAACCTCTTCGTCCACTGGCTCTACGCGGAGGAGATACCGCCACACTGGGAGTCACTCTCCGAAATCGTAGAACCAGGTCTCAATCTCGATGACTCCGCTTGGGACGACTATTCTACTGCAATGCTTCTCCTGAAGGCCTCTGTCTTCGGTGATCGATTTCTCACACCGGCGTTCCATCGTCTTGCACACAACACATTTGTTAACAGATTTGTTGTGGCACCTGGCGACCACAGCAGCATGTCGTACTACATGGTCATCTGGATCTACGACAATTTGCTGACAAGTAGCCCGCTTGTCGACCTGGCGGTCGAACTGCAATGCATTGTATGGAATACGGAGAACGATGACAAGGAGGAAAAGCTGCTATGGCCGCAATTGCCTCATGCCTTCCTTCTAGCTGTCATGACCAGGTACAGTGAACTAAAGGAAGAAAAGTGCTCAGACATAGAGCTGAAGGCGTGCGACTATCATCTTCATGCTTCCGAAGAGGAGAAAAAGGCTTGCAAACAAAAGAAACAGAAGTGATGCGCGCGAAGAGAAGCAGAGGGATTGTCGCAGTTGGAAACAGGACCCGCAAAGATAGCCCTAGGGCGATCGGGGTGGAAACAGAAAAGGACGGGATGTGATGTGCTGTTTGGCCTCAATGTAGCAGGAGCGATCAGATGAACTGACCTCACATCTCACCGCACATAGCCTGGTCGCACCTTCCCGAATCAACACATCCAAACACATCATCGTGCATCACTTCGCAAAGAAAAAAAAAAGCTCCATTCGATACTAGGGTATAAGATGAAGAAGCCAAAATACCACAAACCCACCCACCCATTTAGCCTAACCCCAGACTAACGCCATCCCCGCATCATCCAAGAATCACCAGTACCAGTAACCGTATTCCTTACTGCCCTATTAATCCGAATATCGTGACACAGCCCACCCGCCAATCCTAACCCCGTCAACGCCAATGTTGGTATCTCGGTCATTGTAACTTTGTACTCGTGCGCCTGCTTCATTGGGACTGACTCAGGTCTGAGCGTTCGGTGTCGGCTTATCCTCGTGCTCTTCGACGATCGGGCTCGCTGGCGCCTCGTCCTCGTCGCTTGCTTCCCTCGCATCTTTCCACTCTGAGCTCTTCCGGCTGATGCGGGCGGGACCCATTGGGTTTTCGCGGGGGCTGGCGAGCGGGCTGGTGGGCGTGGCGCGCATGCTGCTGATACTATCAGTGCGGCCGTGGCCAAGGAGTCCGCTGCGCACGCTGAGTCCGTCGGCTTGCTTGGTCGCGTAGTAGCTGTTGCGCTCACTGGGCAGCACTGGGGCTGTGACACCAGATGCTGAGTAGACGCTCGCGCGCTCGGCGTTTACGAAGGCGCTGACGTTGCTTGGCCTGCTGGAGGGCGAGTATATGGCGTCGGGGTTCGCTGATAGTACGCTGAGGGGCAGCGATTCGCGACTGCCGCCGTAATGCGACGACGGGGCTAGTGCGCGCATCGAGGCATTGGTATCTACGGAGTTGCGGCGGCGGCGCTTCGACGAGGAGGCGAGTGTGAGGATGGACGCGTTGTCGGTGAGGATGTTGTTCGCGGTGGCGCCCTGATATGAGTTGGGCTGCTGCTGCTGCGGCTGCTGGGGCGCCAGATGCGGCGGTATAGCTGACGGCGGCGGGGAGGTGGGGAACTGGTGCGAGAAGTGCACGGGCGTGGTACTTGTGGTTGTCGCATTGTTCTGGGGTTGCGCCTGGCCGAGGTTGAGGATATTTGAGGGCGCGGTCGATTGTATGGTGGTCAGGGTGGTGGTGAGGGAGTGCTCTGAGCCATGCGGGGACGAGAAAGTGCTGCCGCCGTTGACAAAGTTGCTGCCGCCTGTCTCTGCCTTTGACCTAGACGAGTGTACTGTTTCGGGGACTGTGGCTACCGTGGGGGCTGTCGACTTGTTGCTCTTCTCAATCGCCTGTCGCTGTCCAGCCGCGGGCTCCTCCATGGACGCATAGCTGTCGTGCGATCGTAATGTGACCGGGGTCGTGACGGAAGAGTTGTCGGCGGGCGGTACGTTGGTGTTGATGTAGCCAGACTCAGGATAGGGGTTGTTCTTTGGGGCGCCTTTCTTGACGGTGTTGCCTTTCTTGCCTGGGGCGTCGGAGGATGAGGGCTTGAGGTTGGCCAGGCGCTTCATCCAACCCGCAAAGGGTCGCTTGCGCGCATGTCGGTCTTTGTATCGCGTTAGCATGGTGAGCATGATTTGGTGAGGGGAGAGTGGGCGTGGCGTAGGGAGGATATAATTTGGGTAGTTGTCTGAGACAATGGCTGTGCAAGACTAGTTCATCGTACCATGGGGTCTCGACGCAGCTTCGGCCGTAGCCATTATGCCGGCTGCCAAATATAGAGTGCCGGTGGTGAGTGAAGGAGGTCGTTGGGCTAGTTAGGCGCGGGATGCCACGTTTAGTCTGACGATCCCACGTCGAATCTACTGGAGTAATGGGGACGCGGCTGTCGGTAGCGCGGTGTGCGTCGTGAAAGCCAGCGCAGGCGGTCGGGCGCGATTATCGAATGGCGAGACAGCAAGTCGTATCGCTGCTATCACTAATCCGAGGCGATTGAGGCAGTCTAGGTTACGCGGTTGGGGCCGGGAGGTTGCGCTGATGGGGAAAGAGCGAGGAGCTGCTGGTCGCTCCTGCTCATATCTCCGGCTGGACCCTGACCCTTTTCCCCAGCGCACCTGCCGCCCGCCGCGCTAAGCCGCCATGTTCCCTTCACGACACACGATTGCGTATGTTCTGTAGATCTCCATGTTATCGCCCACCCAAACTCAACACTGATCACGGCGCGACCCCTTAACATGATCGAACACGGGTCATCAAACAACGAGGGCTGAGGGGGCGCCCGCCAGACCTATCACTACGTCATGACCCGAAACACGTCCATTGGCGCCAAACATACTATCCCCAATGCTCCCACGCGAACTATACTGCCCCTGCCCGCCGAGGTGATCGCCCAAATCAAGTCGTCGACGGCAATTGTCTCGCTTACGGGAGTTGTGCTGGAGCTCCTGAAGAATTCTTTGGATGCGAAAGCGACCAAGGTAGAAGCCGCGATTGACTTCGCGCGCGGCGGATGCTCGGTCGAAGATGACGGTCTCGGCGTATCTCCCCTCGAGTTTCGCGAAGAAGGAGGCCTGGGCAAGCTCTACTGTATGTGTACGCACCGGAAGCCATCTAGATAGATAATTGACGGCGACAGGCACGTCCAAGTACCATGCGACCGAATCTCTCCTCGGCCGCAATGGCACCTTCCTCGCGTCGCTCGCTGCTATGTCACTCCTGACCATCTCCTCGCACCACTACCAACACCGCTCACATAACGTGATAACGTTCCACCAATCCAAGGCCGTGGAAAGGCAACTTCCGGCGTCGGCGCATCACGAGATATCAGGCAGGCATGGCACCCGCGTCACCGTGCGGAACTTGTTCGGCAATATGCCCGTGCGCGTGAAGCAACGGTCGATAATTTCAGAGCAAAGAGCCGAACACGACAGACTCTGGGATGGGTTGAAGAAGGACGTAACGGGTCTCTTGCTCAGTTGGCAGCGTCCGGTCGCTATTCGAATACGGGACGGTGACAACAGGGTGGTGCTCAGTCTCAGCGTATCCGGCGTGGAAGCAGCCACAAAGAGAAAAGAAAGTGAAATTGCGAAGCCACGATCGGCACAGCTCTCATCACTCCTCAACGTATTGACCCAGGCCAACTACATCACCGTCGATGAGTGGGCGTCGTGGGTACCAGCGTCGGCTTCCACACCCGCCATTTCGATTAAGGGCGCTATATCACTAACTCCAGCACCCAGCAAGCATGTTCAGTTCATCTCGCTGGGCATACGACCGCTTTCAGCGGAGGCCGGCCACAATGAACTGTTCGATGCAGTCAATCGCCTCTTCGCATTGTCCAGCTTTGGTACTATCGAGGAAGATGCCGACATCGATGAGCAAGAGAAAATTCGACGGCAGACAGATAAGCGCTTCAAGCAGGATGGCTATACAAACAGACAGCTCAAAGCACGCAAAGACGTCGACAGATATCCTATGTTCCACCTTCGCATCTCGTTGAAGGAGGCTCGCAGGAGAAGCGTTTCCGAAGATCAGTTCATCGGAGATGAAGCGAACCTACAGAACGTGATGGGTGTCCTGGATGCAATGGTAACTCAATGGTTGTCGGTCCATCACTTTAGACCCCGACATCCTCGTAAAAAGCGCGAACGGCCTGGTACTGCTTCTAGCGCTGCTGAGGACGCTGCTGTCAACACGCCATTCACGGAAAGCCCCACAACCAACATGGCTTTCCGAGGACACGATACAAGACTGCGCTCGGCAACACCGAAGCAAAGCTCAACTCCGTCACAGTCTCTCAAGAGAAAACGTCCAGAAAAGATATCGTCACGCGAGTTGGTTGACAGGTCGCGCTCCGGCGCTTTTGCAGAGTGGTCACGCATCAAGAGTGGAAAGCCCGAGTTCTTCAGCAGCACTCTGAACGTGCCGAAATCCAAGGCCGCATTCGATACTTCAAATGGCGCAAACACCGAGGCTTTCGCACATTTCGAGGTAGCGCCACTAGCTCAAGGTGCTCTGAGCGGACAAGAACAGCGCAACGATGTAGCGCCGCCTGCACAGAGCCTGGAAACCGATGACAAGGAGAACGACGATACCATGTTGTGGACGGATCCGACGACTAAGAAGACACATCTACTAAACGCTAGAACGGGCTGCGTGGTCCCTGACGCTCGCACGCGACCAAGCACCGACTCAGCTATACTCTCGAATTCGATATCCCAGAACACATCGAATAGGTCAATGCGATTACCGACACGGGCTGCGACGGCTGTGGCCGGCAAGACACCCTGGCTTGATGATGTCCTAGACACGTGGGAGAACCCAGTCTTCAAGACGAGCGAGAGGCGTATACAACAAGCTGTATTGCACGCAGATGAGGCTGACCACGGACACCATCATTCCAGACATGGCTGTTCTCGCATCGATATCGACAAAGCTTTCAACCAGACTTCCACGGGTGGCTCCAGCAGATTGTCGAGAGAAGGGTTGCAAAATGCCCAAGTCATTGCGCAGGTCGACAAGAAGTTTATCTTGGTCAAGATGCAAGATTCAACACGGGTGGAAGATGCGCGCGCGGGACTTCTTGTACTAATCGACCAGCATGCAGCAGATGAGCGCGTGCAGGTTGAGTCACTACTAAGCCAGCTTTGCAGTCCGCTTCAAGGTGAAGAAGGGTATCGGTCAAAGCTCGGCCATCAGGCCCAGGTAGCCTCCGTCGTTCTGGATAAGCCAACACAATTCGCAATCTCGCCGCAGGAACGAACACATTTCACAACGCATGCTGCGCGCTTCGCAGCATGGGGCATTCTCTTTGACATTCTCCAGACAACAGCGTCTGGATCTTTCCCCAGCACTGCCGACAAGGAGAAACATGTTTTATCCGTCACAGCTCTACCCACCGGTATCTCCGAACGATGCAAGGCCGACCCCAAAGTCTTGATCTCCTTCCTCCGCTCGACAGTCTGGAAGTATGCCGAAGATCCACATCTCCCTCCTCTACCCACACCATCTAGTTCTTCATTGAACGACCCCGCAGATTGGGTCAGACGTCTAGCCACCTGTCCACCAGGCCTCGTCGATCTCATCAACTCGCGCGCATGTCGCTCCGCTATCATGTTCAACGATGAGCTCAGCATCGACGATTGTAAGGCTTTGGTGAAGAATCTAGCGGGATGTGTCTTTCCGTTTATGTGCGCGCATGGCCGGCCTAGTATGGTGCCGCTTGTCGATCTTGGAGGATTGGGTGAAGGAGCTGGCTTGGGAGGGCGTGATGAGGCAGCGGAAGAGGTTGGATTCGTAGATGCTTGGAGGAGGTGGAAGAAATGAACGTCAATACAAATCTTTCTCTCGAGGACTGACAATCTATACTGAGTCATACTCGATGAGCGCGGATACCATACCTCCCGATGTCGCACGAAGCGCAGTTCACGACCGTGCTGCAGCCAAATGTATTGACTCAGGCGTACTGACTGTCTAACAAGATGGGAGTCTGAAAGCGCGGAGTGAACAGTCATGGCGAAGTATAAATTCTACTTGCTGTTGACGGTCGCCTGCGGACTGATACAGAGCAGTTCGGTTTGCAGCTACAAAATTTCCGACAACTATCGCAAGCGCCTCATCGCATCTGCGACAGGCATGCCGGAGACACAGGTCGGGAAGGCACGGGCCGAAGAGACAGACGACGACTACCTCGAAGATCGACCTCTCTACCCGGAGAGAGCCATCGATTTCAACGTGCAGCTAATCGACTTGCTGACGCAGAATGCACCTAAATGTAGGATGATGTCGGTTGACGGTCAAACTTATTCGGTAACGAATCCTCTTTACAAATACAAGTTAAGGTAAGTGCATCAGACATCGTGACAATAACCGTAGCAAGAAAGATTGTACGTTGGCTAACCCGCTTGGTTGCATAGCCCAAGTCAGTGGCGAGAGAGAGTTCGCTTCTTCTCGCATCTCGAATTCCCCTCTCGATGTCTCACGGCAGATGGCGAATTCGATATTCCAGAGGACTTGGAGCCTTATGGGGAATGGCTACGCTTCGGCATCAACATGTACATACCTATCGACTCTGGTCGGTCCCCTGACACGATCCAAACGACCGCGATAAGCTTGTTAAATCCAAATTCGCGCGATATGTGGGAGAAGAGTAATGTCCGTAAGGATTTCAACATATATTTGTTCAAGGCGTGGAGCCACAATCAACGATACAAGACAATCGAAAATGTCATCTGCTTCGGACTAGGACCTATCCACATCGAAAGCGATGAGGAATCACCAGACAACCTGCCTCGTACGGATCCCGGGCTGAACAGGTATCGCGTGTTCCTCGCTTTCGACATAACTCGCATGCTGAAAGTTAACTTCCAACTCAAAAGTATTCAACTGATATTTCACGACACAAAGGACGAGTGCCAATACCGGGAGTTGATACAAGAGCTCGCAGATAAACAGGAACAGAAAATCAGCTTCCTAGATACCTGCGAGGCGATACGCAAGGTGAACGGGAACACACTAGTACTGGCACACGGCATCCCTAGAGAGGGCTTGCCACTACGCTCCATCATTCTCGACAAAACAGAGAAGTACGGTGGCCCGGCTGGCATCTTGTGCGAAAAGATACCTGATATCAAGACTATTGAGGATGAGGCTACTACTGCGGCGAAAGAAATCGCGTCGACAGAAAAGACATCAAAAGAAAAGTTACGTGATCCTCCTACCAAGCGTATGGCGCATCAAAGGGAGAAGTACGGAATGAAGCCTATGTGCAGGATCGATAAATGGGAGGTGACTATGTACTTGAAGTCTCACGGATCAAGTAGACGGAAGTAGAGGCATGATGGCGTCTATCGCAATAAGCTTGGAGAGTGTGGTACGGACTAGCTTTCAATACATGGACTCTGCACAGCTGTCTTGATACGCTTCCACAATCGTGAACACCGCTACTGTCCATTGACCTTCTGAATATCAATGTATGGGGCATCACAAGCCACAAGCGACATTGGAGCCAGATACAGCAACATCAACCGTTCAGCCAATACCAGAATCGCCTATCCGCCTACCCCAAACACCCCCCTACAACCAACCTCATAGAGGCCCCCTCTCAGCCCAAGACCTTATGATGCCCTCATCACTCTCCTCGTACTCCCTATATTCTACCTCCCCATTCTTCTTCAGCAACGTATTTCCCTGCACGAACTTCGGCCTCTGCTCCGGCTTCGTCGCCACAACACTTCTCCACGTCTCGTACACACCCTCTACACTGGCCAAGTTTTCATAAAACGGTCGGCACGCCTCGACATTCGCTGTGCACCGCCAGATATGCAGGGCACACATCAAACGACCCAGCGCGGGTTTGCCGTCGGTTAGGATCTTGGTACTGTCGACGGTGACGTGCAGCTCGGATGTGTTAGGGTCGTGGTGGACGGTGAGAATTCCGTTGCCTTCGATGAGGAGATGTTTGAAGATGGCGAAGTAACCTTGGCTATGCGCTTGGGTCCACTTCTTGTCATCGGGGTTATAGTGTTCTAGGGATCGTAGAACTTCGACACCGAGGTGTAAATAGGAAAGATAGACCATGTCGTCAGCCGTTAGCGCACTAATCTCGTCGTACCCGAAGATTGCGAGTATCTCTATTTTGTCGATCAGGTACGCTGACATGAGTATAGCCCTACACTCTTCAACTGAATTGGCAATGTCTTCGAATACGCTCCAATATGTTTCGTTGGGGTGGTAGCAGGAGGCCACCGTTTGGCCCGTCAAAGGGTCGATCGGCGGGTTAGTGGCGTCAAAGTTGAAGATACCGGGGGCTGTTTCGCTCAGGAGTTTTCCGGTGCCGTGGCCGAGGAGTTCGTGGATAACTGTTGCGACGAAGCGGATGGTATGGAGGTTTTGGCGGTAGAGTTCGCGGTCTTGGGGTTGGAGGTAGAGGGATGCGCCGGAGGAGTTGCAATTCACGCTCATTCGGTTAGCAATGATCATGTTCTTTGAGCCGTGTGTTTCGCGGATGTCGTTGTACTGAGCAATTGAAGGTTAGTGACTAGAACATTGAGGTGTGGACGACAGTTAGGAGGACTTACGTTGGGCAGGTTTGATGCTTCCCAAACATACGGGCAGCACATTGTCAGAGCTGCATCATCAGCGTTAGCATGCGTTCATGTATGGAGAGCGCAGGCACTCACCATGCACAATAGCAAATTGGGGTATGACAACCACGTCCTTCTCGAATAAACCCTTGCCCTCGTTCTCCGCCGTCGCCCAAGGCAACAAGGTACAGAACTTCGCTGCACTAGCCACGAAGACTTCCATCTTCTTTGTTTCTTCTGGATCCGCGATACACACCACGCCCTCCCATTCCGCCCGTACGCCATGAGGATCGCGATAGGTTTCAACGAAGCCGAGAATGTGTTCGATTGATGGGGATTTGTCTTTGACCCAGATCTCCTGGCCTCGTCGATATTCTCGGAGATCTCCCGTGTTGAAGCTGTACATGTGGCAATCGAGTACGGCCTTCTGATTTTGATTCTGTGCGTACATACTGGCCCTCTGGAGGCTGTGAAATTTCGTTAGTCTTATTGCCAGGCTAGCAGATCTTGATGCTGTCATCGATGGTTGGAAGATAGCAGGGTAGAGATAGACCTACTGTGCGGAGATAGTAGAGATCTCGTCCTGATGATCCCCTTTCATGCGTCTAAATCTCGGGCCACCAAGTTGTGCAGCTGTAGTAAGCTTGCTGTTGCCAGTCTGAGTCGAGGTCTGGAGAATGTCAAAGACGGCGTTCCCCTTATGAATTGTCTTTCGCACTCGCGTATTCTCTGGCTCAACACCTTCTTCCTGCATATATAGCTGGACTTCCTTGATCTCTGTGCGCGTAATGCGGTCGCCCAGGTAGTAGCTCGACACAGCAGTATCGCTTGGATATCCTGTGTTCTGCGGAGTTACTGCAGTCATACCCTCAACTAAGTTCTCAGCAGCAGATCCTGTCATACCCACGCATCCCACGATCTTCTCCAGAGACTCTTTGCGAAGATCAGGCACAAACTTCTGACCTCCCTCACCCTACGTAGTCAGCACATAACCTTGTCTTCTCTCACAACTGCTGACACTTACATAGAAGTTCCCGAGATTGTACAGGAATAGCCCAGCATAGCTCAAAAAGGCCTTGACTTCATCGCCGGTTACCGCGCATACTTCCTCGAACTGGCTCCACTCGCCCTCGCATGCACGATAGGCCTCTATGATGAAGTTGAAGATGGCTTCGGATTCTAAAGAGGTCTGGCGCAGGATGATGCGTGCTCCTTTCCAGGCTGCTTGCGAGAGATAGTGAGCGTAGAGCTTGTCGCGAGGTGGGAGGCTGTCGAAGAGAGGCTTGATCGCCAGACGGTGGACTGGAGAGGCCTGGTCGGGCGCTCGAGCGCGATTGGAAGCCATTGCGGAATGGTATGATGAGGTCGTGAGTAAAATGCACGCAGATGTAGCGACATTGATACCGCGTCGCTGTGCGTTTGCATCGGCTGCACGTGATCCAAGCAAACGCAGCCATCGATGCATTGACCCTTGACATCAGGTTCGAGGCGGCATTCCGGGGTCGAGAGGGGATTCAGGTTCGCACCATGGTCTTTCGCGGCGCACAAGAATACGTGGAGCTTGGCTCAAGCTACGTTGGTGTACGGTGACTCTTTGTCCGACATTGGATGTTGGATGTTGGATATTGATCAATCAGTGCCATCTCCTCGGTTAGTGTTGGTCATGATTTGGCTTGTTTCCACCAGTCTTTTACTCGGTTCTGAAAGGAAATGACGCATTAGCAATGAGTCAAGCTCGCCCTCAAACTCGCAGCTGCACCGTGAACAAGGAATGGGAAGATGGTCGAAGCGATCGAGAACAACACATCGATACGGTACGGTATTGGCGGCGTTCGAGTTGCAACCAGAGACCTAGCGTAAGATGTTATAGAACCGTCACTAAGAAACTTTCGGTTGACGGAGTCCTCAGGTACATGTGCTCCGATCGTTGTCAGCAAGTCAGTAGCGATAATCTTCGATGGGTGGGTGCTCCATGTGGACGCGCATACGTTCGGCATCCGAACATCTTAGTACTAAGAGCGATGGCGATGTAGACGGAAGGGTGTATTGAATTCAATTCGTCTCTTTTGAGATATGATCATCCGAAAAGGCGGGCATCGCCGGATATGATGGAAGAGTGAGGCGTCGATGCCAGGGACGCCTGGAGTTTAGCGTGGAAGATTCGCGACGAGCTAGTCCTAGTTGGGTAAAGTCACGTGGTCAGCATCCATCATCAATCGCGTCGACGTCGCATTGCTCTCCACCTTCCACCTGCATGTACTCTGCTCCCCTTTGATGATGACGCAACTTTTCTATCGATGATCGCGATACGAAAGCCGCATCACAGAGGTGCCGTGCCACACGATCGCCAACCGCAGCTATGACTCCCTATTAGCGGACGGCACGCTTTTGTCTATGGCGCAAACCATTAGATCGCTACAACAGGTGCAGACACCATGCAGAGAACCTGGCAAATAAGCGAGCGCATCGTTCAAGCTTGCATTTGTCCCTTTACCGACGCTGACATCGCAAAGTCGAGTCAACACACGTCATTCACGAACTTCATTAACCCGAATGCCTCAACAGCCAAGCCTCCACTCCGCTGCTGAAGCTCAATTTCGTAGGTAACCATGCATGAAGCTAAGCCCGCGAAGCGAACTCTTACTCCAACAAACGACCTGTCATAGCCGGATTGAGTAAAGATGTGCGCTGCACCCCGCGATTCGGGAGACGTTTGGCGGGGATCTATCGTTGGAGAATCGGAGGAGATGCAGCGATAAGAGTGTTGGGGGCGTACTCAGTGCAAGGAGTTCCAGTCAACTTACCGCAAATCAACATGTCGCTAAAGGAGAAGGATCTTGAAGCCGAGCGAAAGGAGCATGTCAGTGTCCACACAGTGTCCCCTAAAACGATGCGCTGACGACAGAAGGTCTCATTTGACGAGAAGAGCTATGGCGCTAGACATGACCGTATAAACAGCGACGACGCTGTAGATCCAGCGAATGACTCCTCGGGACCAGCATCGTCGCCTGTCGAAAGAGATGACAAGGAAACACATCGCATCATTCGGAAAATAGATCTCAGGCTCTTACCAACACTCGCTGTCATCTATGCCTTTGCACTCATCGACCGCGTCAACCTTCCGAATGTACTGCATATCCTCAGTCGTCCTTGTAAGCCGTATACTGACTCACATTCAGGCGCGTATTGCAGGCATGGACGAGGACTTGGGCCTCTCCATCGGCTCACGCTACTCCATACTCACCATGATTTTCTTTATTCCTTACATCATCTTCCAGTTTCCTGCCAACATAATCATTCGAATACTCGGTCCTGCCGTATGGCTACCCTCCCTGGTCGTTTGCTGGGGCGCTGTCACGATCGGCATGGGCTTTACGAATGACTGGACGCAAGCACTAGGTTGCCGAATTATACTGGGTGTGCTCGAAGCTGGCTACTACCCTGGCTGCGTCTTCTTGTTGAGTTGCTGGTATGTGAGATTTGAGGTGCAAAAGAGATTCAGTGGATTCTACCTACTAGCGCTCCTTGCAAGTGGTTTCTCAAACATCTTGGCGTGGGGACTGAGCGAGATGAGAGGCCTAGGAGGTCTAAACGGATGGCAATGGATCTTCGCAATTGTGAGTGAAGTCTCTTCATACTCTCTACCAGTTGCTGACTGATAACAGGAGGGTGCCATCACCATGTTGCTGGGCTTCCTCGGCTACGTAACCATTATCGACTTTCCTGATAAAGCCAGCCAACCCAGTCCCATCACAAAACGTCCTTTTCTGACCGATGCGGAAGCCAACATAGTTCTAGCCCGCATCCAACGCGACCGTGGCGATGCCGTCGCCGACAAACTTACCCGTTCAACCATCGCTAAACATCTCCGCGACTGGAAGATCTGGGAGTTTGCATGGCTCTACTTTCTCAACAACGTCGTCGCGTACAGTTGGGGATACTTCCTGCCAATCATCCTGCGCAACGACATGGGTTACTCTGTGGCCATGAGTCAGATCCTGTCTTTCCCGCCATACGTCCTGGCAGCAGCTTGGATGTTTGGTACGGCATGGGTCGCCGACAAATATAGAATGCGCGGTGCAATCATCGTATTCAACTGCGCATGGGCAGTCTTGGGAGTGTGCATGATGGCTTTCCTCAGCAACGCTCGCGCACGGTATGCCGGAGTCTTTCTAGGCGTCAGTGGTGCGAACGCGAATGTGCCGAGCATATTGAGCTATATGCACAACAACATCGTGGGTCAGATGAAAAGGAGTGTTGCGAGTGCGTTGTTGATCGGAGGTGGAGCTTGTGGAGGTATCGCAGCATCGAATATCTTTCGACAACAGGATGCGCCGAAGTACATGTGAGTTCCATGCATCATGATGTATGGGAGTATGAAGCTGACTTGTACAGACCCGCCATGGCTGTCGTCATCGCGACCCAAGTCCTGAGCATACTGCACGTACTGAAGAACTTCTGGATCTACTCACGAGCTAATCGTCAGGCTGATCGCGGAGAGAGGATCCTGGAGGGCCAAGAAGGCTTCCGACAGACGCTGTAGATTTCAGGCTGCACTGCCCGCCACTATGCCAGCGTACGATGAACACTACGAATATATGCCGCTACGCTATGCTATGCCATGCTATCAAACTCATCAAATAGTACGCGACGTGACAGCTTCCCCTCGCAGCAGAGATCCCAGATCCTGCAAGCTAAACCAAGACTAGCCCATCAACCTCCGCCGCCTCCCGCTGTCGACACTGACAGTATTATCTGGCCCGATGCTGATGCTCAAACTGCTGGTGTCGTCTTCGCTTGGAGCCCTCCTCCTGTCCCTGTCCCTGTCCCTCCCGCTAACAGCCTGGCTCTTACTCCTCTCGGGTTGTATGACCAGCCATGTAGAGCCTCCGCCTTCATGCTCTTGTTCCATGAGCTGTAGTTGTGGACCTCCGCCTCTCTCGTCTCCTCTTCGCATGTCTCTATCGCCCCTTCTCACATCGGTTTCGCTTAGTCCTCGCTCGTTTCGGCCGCGCTCTCGGCTGGGCTTTGCGTTCTTAGTGGGTGGCGGAGGAGGGAAGAGAGAGGGGAACTTGGCGGTTTTCAGAGGTAGTGTTGTAAGCGAAGAAGGTAGCGGGAGAGACTCGATCAGCGTCAGCTTCTCGAGTGGTATGGAGGTGAGCAGAGAAGCGGGTAGGTCGACGGGCGAGCATGCGACTATTGTGTGTCGTAGGTGCGTGTTCGATGCGAAGAACGACAAGTTTTCTGCGTCATGTTAGCGACTTCGCAGCCTTCCACCTCGAGCATGCGTGGATACATACCTCGCACTTTTCTTCCTGCTCCGCCTTCCTTGCCAACTCCAGTGTCAATCCAGTCGAAGCTCGTTATCCTGCCGCAGAAGCCAGTCGAGAAGGCTCGTAGCTGGCCCAAGTTCCGAACCTTCTCAAGTCGTACAAGGTAGTTGGCCATACCCTCCAAGTTGGCATATATGCGGACGATGATGTCGAGTGAGTCGGCATCTTCGTACAGCTCCCGCAAGTATTCCCTTATCCGTATGTTCAGTTCGTCTGCTAATGCTTCGCCGCCTTGAGCTTTTCGTGTTATGTATTTGTCTTGGAACTGGGACGGTCAGCTAAGATACACGACTGGAAGTATACTACAACACATACCAGGAAGCCTTCGGCATCGGCATCTATGAGCACCATAACGAACGGCCGTTTGGACTGCGATTGTACTAGAGCTTCTTCTTTTGCCTTGGACTCTGACAGCTGCCCTTGCATCGTCCGCGTGACATCTGCAATTTCCGCTTGCAGTGTCCGCCTGACATTCTGTTCGGAGCCGAGGTCGAGTTCACATTGTGCGAGGCGTGCTTCTGTCTTTTCAAGCTTGTCTAGGAGTTCCTACACCATCGTCAAAACCATCATGGTACACAGGACGCCTCCAGTAGCATACCTCAATAAGCTCGCACCTCTTCTCCTCCAGAATCCTAAACTGCGACAACCGATCGCGAAACGTCATCGGAGGTGGGGCAGGCGGGCCCGCAACAACTAATTCCGCCATCTTCAGAACTGGCAAACGTCACGCAATCACCAAAAGGCAGGAAAATTACTAAACGACAGAAAAATCTGGGGATCCTAACATTTAAGAAGACGCGTTGTTTTGGGCTCCCGCGCAGCGCTAGCTAGTTGTTTTGCATCTGCATGGCCCAAAGTACGGTGACGCCGCCGGTGCGAAAGATGGCAGGTTCTGATTGGCTGGGCATGTGGGGGAGTTGGGCTCATACGCTGCCTTGGTGTTGGAAGTCACCGGAAGCATACAGAAGCTCGTGAGCTGGCGGGCTGTGTTCTGGTCACGGATGCATTCTTTGCGGCATGCAATATGCGGCGCGAGCCGCAATGGGTCGCGTGAGGCGGAGATGGAGGGGTGATGGGTGCTCTGGAGGGGAGGAGGGGCATATTCTTCGCATTTTAGCCCCTCGTTTATCGAAACACATGTCACATTGCTTCTCTGGCTATGATACAAAGGTGTTGCGGTTTCTAGATACATGCATCTATAGATGACAGCTTTCTTCCACACATCCATGACATCCAACGCTTGCAGAAAACCCCAAAGGTCTTATGACTCACCCAACGAGGAAGTTCATCGGTTACATGACCCGGATGATGTCGGTATCTGGTATCGCAGTTGCCATCACGGCGCGACGATCAATCTTTCCTCCAGACGTGCCTGGCAGCTGCTTCCAGATCACGGCGCGGGTCGGACGCATGTAAGCGGGGAGATTGAGGCCGCGAAGCAGCTTCAGTAAATACCGGCGCGATGCAGCGTTGAGTGTCCCGGTCATGACAACAGCAGCCAGGATCCGTGGCTCTTCCTGCTCCTCATTGCTATGAAGAAACACGACTGCTTCCACCACTTTCCCTTTGGCCTGGTCAACAATTGTCCGCGAGACATCTCCAAGCTCGATGTGAAATCCGCATACTCGCGCGGTTGACTCATCCAAGCGTCGGGAGGTAACGAATAGCACTCCAGTATCGTTGATGAAACCCCAGTCTCCTGTCCGAAAACAATTCACGCCAGTTCCAGGATGTTTCTGGAAACGATGGTCGTCGGCCTTGGAGCCAAAGTAGCATGGCCCAACACCCGGACCAGCGACCCAGATATCACCAGTCCAAGCTACAGGAAGTGGTCTGCCCAGATGGTCGCCTACCCAGATGTGGTTGTTCGGCAACGCGGTTCCCACAGGGATGAGCTGGCCTTCCTTGTTGGCCGCGTACGCCTTGTAGTCGACAAAGCCCATGGAGGAAGCGATTGTCGTCTCGGTCGCTCCGTAGAAGCTTGCAAGCGCCAGGTTGTCAAGTTGAAGCTCGGTGAAATTGCGAATAACGCTCGATGAGATGTTATCTCCGCCACTCAACGCGAATTTCCAAGATTTGCAATCCTTGAGCATGTGACGAGGATGTTGGAACCAAAGCGAGTAGTCAGATGGTGTAGCAATAGTAGTGGTGATCTTCTGGTGCACCATGACTTTTGTCACATTGGCGGGAGATGAGTCTGCGGCTAGGAAGAGGGTGCCTCCAGACGTTAGGGCGAATGAGATCTGAAAGAGCGATATATCCGACGTCCAGTTGCTGTGTTGCAATACGATCGGCTTCTCGTCTTCGAAGTAGTAGGCAGTGGAAGCCACAAGCACCTTCAAATTCTCGTGTGTCAAAACGACGCCTTTTGGCAGACCATCGGACGACGGAAGATGCAGTCCCACAGCAAGATCGTTTGGCAGCGGCTCCTCGATGTTGTCGAAACCTTCCGTGAAGACCATGTCGCCGCAGAAGAACACGGTACCAAGCTGGAGTTTCAGTGCGTAGTCAACTAGATCTGGCGTGCTGACGACGCAAAACATAGTGTCAGAGTTCTTAGCGATTGGAAGATTTTCATCGACGGACAGGCGGTAATCTATCGGAACGTAGACAGCGCCAGCGCACCATATCGCGACGATACTGCAAAGAAGATCGATGGTGGGTGGACCGAGCACGCACACAGGAGTACCACGAGCGACTTCGTGCTTCTTCAGATCGGAAGACATGGCGATCGCGCGACGTATGAGGTTGGCGTAGGTCATCTTTTGGTTTTGTTCGTCCTTTACAGCGACACGATCGGGAGTGGTTGCTGCGATCTCCTGAAGCTTCTCGAGGACGCTGCTGAAGGAGACTTGGTGCTCAGGTCCGGCGCCATGCGCCATACCTTGCTCACGCTCTTCTTGGGGGATAGGGTCCATATCGATGACACTAGTAGTCTGGCTCTGAGCAACCATTTGCGTCATTGCTTGGACGTACAGCTCCGCCACCACTTCAGCATGTTCTTTGTCATACGTCTTCTCGTCCAGGCCAACGAACACGACTAGGTTGCGGTCGAGGTCTTCGCGAACAATTAAGACGAGGTCTTGAGCATGCTCGAAGTACATATCGGTAGTCGGAGAGGTAGGACTTCCACGAGCAATCCAGTCGAAGGTGACTTGATGAAGAAGTGTCTGCTTCGAGATATTCAACTCGGATAACAAGTTCTTGACTGGTACATGAAGATACCGTCTAGACACGCCCATGGTCGCCTTAGTCTGCTCCAGGAGTTCGTTGGAGGTGTGTTGCGAGTCGCCCTTGAAACGCACTGGCATAGTATCGCCCTTGCCCTTCAAAGCTCGACCCAGGCCGATCACGAAGTCGTCGGTACCAGTGAGCTGTGTGAGTAGGATCTGCAGCGCAACTAAACCGAAGCTTACCCCTGAATGTTCGTAGTCGTCGCACATGAATCGAATGCCGAAGGAGAGATTTGCTGAAACGGTTATTTCAAAGCGATGGAAAGCCGGAACCGCATCGGGGTTGCGAAATCCTCGAGTCGTGAACGGTAACATTGGTAGAGACGTGGGTCGACCTTCCATTTGGGCTGTCCATTGCCACAGACCAGAGGCCGGTAGGGGGGTCATATGAGAGAGTGGGCTGCTTTCTAAGGTATGGGTCGCCTCGAAAGAGTCGCTAGGGGTCGCTGGAGGCGGTGCAGGCAATGAATAGCCGGGGGTGGATTGCGCTCGGCGAGATCGAGTACGCGCAGCTTGTTCCATCGGATGTTGGGCAGGCGATGGAGATGAGAAAGGGTCTTCGTCGAAGTCTCTATCCTGCATAGCTGTGTTAGCCAAGATCTAATACTCAGGCTAGACCGCCAGGGATACTTCGTCGAGTGAATTTGGAGTGCACGGTCGGCTTTTCTACCTCGATCATGGTGTTTAGGCAGCAAACCATCCTTTTTGTTTTCCTTAGCAACCCTAGTAGTTGCGATAGGTGTAGTGAAGCCAACAGCACTGACCTGCTCGTCACTTTGACGTGAATGTATGACTCCCTGCGCTTACAAGTTAGATTCGATTGAGGGAACGCCGAATCGACACCCACCGTTCTCAAACCCCCAGTCAACCAAGACCATGAGTAACATCGACACTGCTCTCACGTCTGACGACAAAACCGCTCATGCACCCATCGAAGCACCCACTAATGGGCTTGGAGATCTTGGCAAACTTCCCAGAGAGTTGAGAGACATTGTCTACGAAGCAATGCTTGCTAGTACATCGCAACGACACTATATGATATTCTCCAATATTCCCAGAAAGAATGCAAATGTCGAATACCAGCTCTCGAGACCTTACTGCTACGGCCCATCATCCATTTTCCAGGTATCCAGCGCGATCAGGAACGACTCCATATCAGTAGCCCTTGGTAAATCCCATGTTATAGTCGAAGGCTATCGCAGCATACATCGACTCACCACCTTTCTCTCAGCCAACAACGCTTTTGGTAGCGTAAGATCGTTGGAATTAGGAGGCATGAACAACATCAGAACTTTGCTCAGTCACATAGACAAGTTCCCAGCGCTCCAGAGCCTCGGTATCGGAATGTGTACAAGTGTGTTGGCGCGAGTCGAGTACAGAGTCAATGAGCCAACAGCAGACTCCGTGGCGAAAATAGTGCAGAAGTACAGGTTGGAGAAACTACTCGAGTGCAGTACTCTGCGATATCTCACGTTGCATGAGTTCAGTTCCAACGTCTGCATATGTAGATGTCAGTCCAATGAGAGAGCGCTACGCGGTTTGGGACTATGGTTGACGAGGGAGTGCGAGGAAAGAAAGATCGGCATTCATGTCGGACTTCTGCAGATATGTAAATGGGAACGTAACGGACGTTTGCGGTGGCATGAGACGACCATTAAAAGGCTCTCTGAATAATGGTGGAGACCGAGGGAGCGGTTGGCTGATGGACGAGCCTTTGCTGGCATTAAGTTATTTGTTAGCAGGAGATTACATCGACGATGCCGAGACACCACTAAAGAAACCTTTCGCCATGACAGGAATGCTCCAAGCTTACCGGTGTAATAGTAGTGTTGGCCGATGCCTATGTAAAGGCGATTTCTATCAATTTGTGTGCATGGCGAGACTCCAGCGAACAGCGGAGGTTTCTGTGAAACACGCGAGGCCTTGTTACAGCGCGAAGAACCCTCGTGGTCCTTTTAGGGATTGGTCGTAACTTGAATATTAGAGCATTCGCAAGATATGCATCTTCGCACATGAATAGAGACGATATGCACGAGGCCTCGATAGTATAGGTGCGCGAGATGGTGCTGGAAAAGAGGATGGGAAGAGCGTCCAGGGGCGGCCGCATATTTGGGAAATGCTATGAGCTTGCCAAGCCACTAGCGCACGGCGCGCGTCGGCACGCTTCTCACGTGTCTCCTCTCTTCCACGCGAGACACAACGCGTTATTGACCGTCACCGTTGCACTCTTACGGGTTACATTGCTACAAGAGGAATTCTGAACCTCTAAATTACACCGGGATATGGAAAATGTCTCTACTCGGACAAACCGGCGTCAGCAACAACGATCTGGCCAACCAGAACGCGTCGCGTTCTCAGCCGTCGAACCTAGCGCGCCAGCATCATGACACCATGACACGCTTGCGTGCCAACCCTAAACTTTGACCTTCTC